ACACCCAAATTTTATTCACTTACATAATGTCTATAGTTGCTTTCATGATACAAAGGCAGCAAGGCACTGTCCCAACAAACAACATGGTCCTTGTGCTCGTCTATCTACTAGCTGGCCCTTTACTGAAAAAGTGTTCCTAACCCTGGCTTGGAGAGTCACTGAGTCAGATCAGGGACACCAGAAGAGCACACAGAAATGGTGTATTAATCTCCTTCTGCCTCCCTGTCCCCGTTTCTTTCTCTCTAATACTGGGATTGAACCCCAAGAGCACTGAGCCACATCCTTACACCTTTTAAAAAAGTCTAAGTTGCTCAGGCTGGCCTTGAACTTGTGATCTTCTTGCCTTAGTTTCCTGATTAACTGGGGTAACAGGGGTATACTCTGTTAGTAGATTTCTGAGAAGCCTTTTTTGGGGGTATGTACATGCTGCAAGGCAGTCAGACACTATGGAGTCCAGCTGTCTCCTGTTTCTGTCTGCATACTCGTCAGCTTTAATTAAGGTATAGGGGCATCCTTTGAGTGCCTGCTCTTTGCCAGTGGCTCTTGTGTCTTTATCCCTTGTGGACACAAGGCATGACTTCTTCACTCTGTGCTCGTGACACCATGATGGCCCAATGAAGCCACAGAAAGGTGTTTTAGTCAAAGAACCCACTTGCTCTTAGACTACAATCTTAATAATAATAATAAAAAAAACCCGGGTTACAACATACTTTATAAAAGACACGTGCCTCAAAAGGTTGGCTGTAAAGTGAATTTCTGTTCACTGAGTCACAGTATCCCAACTTTCATCATAAAATTACTTTCAGTATAAAACAGACATTTTCATAGGAAAAGTCTATACTTAAGACATTATAAAAATAACACTCAAGAATGCAGCAAGCCATTAAAAACTCATACAGAGAGAACAAAAAGCAAATTTAAAATGAAGACTTAGTAATCTGTACTCAAGTCATAGAAAACCACTATCATGCCACGGTGGAAAATGCCACATGGCAAGCATGCTGACATCTGGAGGACACACATGAGAAGCAGATGTGTTCAGTAGACTTCCTGGCCTTTTGACAACAGACAAGAACGGAGTTTTTCCTGTCTCAGTTTATCCGAACTGTAGAACATAGTTCTCTTTTGTATGCTGACTTTCAGTGTAGCTTGATTTCTTTTTCCGAGCACACTGATGTTTGACTTTGAGTTGCTAAAACTGGACTCTCAAAGTCTTCTTTTAAAAGGGCAATATATTTTTACTTGAAGTAGTTTAAATAAGTTTACTTCATTTTAAATTAATTTTGTAAATATAACGTACTGAAAATCTTGGCATGGTTGAAATTCTAAGGCAAGTATTTTTCTTTTCAAGTAATGATAATGAGAGCTACATTTACACAGCCTTCAGGAAGGGCCCCACCATGTAGGGGCTCACTACAGGGGCTGTGTCTGTAATTTGTATACACCTAAGTGAGGCTTCCCAAGGTGAAACCCTGAAGTGACAGCACCAGCCTGTGAGGCCACAGCTGAGTGACTGGGCATCTAGCAATGGTGATAAAAGTGCCACTGACTTTTCAGGTGTATTCTGTGGCACTGATTCTTGGCACTATCTCACTGGTACTACAAACCTGTATGTCTAGAGTGGTGCATGGGCAGGGACAGAACTCTCCCCACAGCACCTGGCAGGCACCACCGTGAGGACTGAGGTACAGGCACAGGAGGCTACAGGGTACCCTCAGAGGGTCTCCAAGAGCAGCCACAGTCTGTTCACCCATATTTCCACGTTAGGCCAGTCTCAGTGCCTATACTAGGGAAGGGGAAAAGGAGGCCAAGACCACCAGTGCTGGACAAGTGTGGGTGCAATCAGCACATCATCATCCAAGGCCTTTACACACAATGGCAGGAGGAAATGACACCACACACCAGAGGTCTTAGGATGTCAGGAACAAAAGGTAAAGGGCAGGAGGGGGAAATCAGTAAGCAAGCACCCAGAGAGGGACTTGTTCAGTGCCAAGGAACCGAGCAACATGAAACCCTGCTGGAAAATGTCTCAGCGGCACTAAATGTCTGCTAGCAAATCCCTACATGGGAGAACAAAGCTCACTTGTGCACCATGGCTGGCTATTTGCACTGGCCTGAAACAGGCTGGATGAGAGAAGGGACAACTGAATAAAACTAAAGGAGTAGCAGTGGGGAGGCCTGGGCAAGGGGGGACTTTTCAGCAGACAGGCCTCTGCCTCTGACACTGGTGTCACATGTCTGGTCATCTTCTTACCTCTTCTGCATTGGGGGAAGCCTTCACTTTTAATTTTGAGAGACCTCAGATTTATAGAATACCAGGAAGGGCCACCAGAGAGGCTGAGCAATTCTTCCAGTCAGAAAATCTTGACCTTGGTAACTTTTGGCACACTCTGGCTTCTCCAATGTTTTTGAGGGGAGATGTTAAGGTCTCCCTGGTGAAAGGGGCTCTGTCTGCCTCCCCTGGGCCCAAGGCTGTATGTTCTCAGCACAGCTCTAGGGAGATCTCAGAAGCTTACAAATGACCAGGGAGGCTCTGAGAAATCAACAGAAGGTTGCTGACTTGGGAAAGGAACTGACTGGTTATCCTGTACTTAAAATTTTGAGAAGTAGAGTGTCTTTGCAGATAAAGGAAGCTGGTCTTGAATTGTAACACATAATTATCATGTCCCTAAGGGCTACTCAGGACAATTACACCTCATAGAGATACTCAATTTTTTTTCCTGTATTTTAGGGAAGGGTCTACAGGGTGTTCAGGGTCTCACTACCAGATCAGACTTGTGATCTGCCTCTTTACAGCTTCCCAAGAGCTGGGATTACAGGCGCATACCACTACATCCAGCCTCAAGTGCCATCTCAGTGTGCTCTAAGGGCAGGGCCAGCATGGCAGGCCTGGGGATCGAACCTGCCTGCAAGCGCTTTAATCCGCTGAGCTATTTGGCTGGCCCTGGGACACTCAATTTTAAGAGAGTTACACTTTTTCTGCTTCCTGTGAACAAGCAGCAACAAGCTGATCTGGGGAACCATCTAAGTTTCCTTTAACTAATGTTAAAGCCCTGTCTGACTTGACTGTACCATTTTTGTTGTAGATTCATAATTTCTCATTTGCAATTCCAAATTCTTAAATGTTCTGAAAGCTTGTTTTTTTAGGGGCAGTATGTGAACTTCCTGCAGATAAAATTAGGTTCAGTGTGAAGCGATTTCTGGTCATTATTGCTCCTTACTGTGGATCTTCATGTGTAACAATGAATTAATAAAAATGTTTGACTCTGAGGTACTATGCATGGGTATCACAAGATCTATGGCAAATGTGCTATATTATTTTTCTTTTTTTTAAACATATTTAGTGCAGGGTCTATAGGGTCTCACTACACAGATTGGACTTTTTGTGATCCTCCTGTTTTCAGCCTCCCAAGCACTGGGATTACAGGCACGCGCCCAGTCTCAATTGCAGTCTAAGTGCGCCCTGGGGGCGGGGCCGGCATGGCACGCCAGGGATTGAACCCTGGTCCCTGCCTCTGTCTAAGCAGTCACTTTAATCTACTGAGCTATCTGGCCAGCCTCCCCCCCCCCTTTTTTTTAAAATTACTTTTCTATACTCTAAAACATTCTAAATTCTATAGCCTACTAGGTCCAAGAGGTTTTGGATGAGGAGCTGGTGGCCTGAATAGCTGTCTCTTGGTTAATGAAGAACTTCTAGGTCAGATATCTCAGACTTAAGACTCAGCTCAATCCAACCACAGATGGTCAAATGGTCCATTAAAGCAGGAGCTGGAGGGTGGAAAGGGTGAAGCATGTGATGTCTGGGCTGGGGGCAACAAAGGGATAGCAGCATGCATTAGGACTCTGGGAGACTAGGAGGTAGACAGGGTAGACTGTCTCTGGTACTTTTGGGACTCAATTCTCTTAGTTTCTTAAGTTCTGGCTCCTGTAACCTAGGGTGAACAGGCCAGCAGTGGGAGGTTTAGAGGTAGAGCTGGGTTGGCTCTTGGGAATCCATCTGCCTGGTTAGAGCTAGGTGCCACTGAGCTTGTAGCTGCATAAACATGTATTGCAAACAAAGCTCCTTCTAGCCCTTGGAAAGTTAGAAAACATACACATATCTATACCAAGGCAGCCCTTGCAGTAGCATTGGAAACGTGTGTATCTATCTTTCTAACTAGATTCTAATTTCCTTCAGTGCAGGAACTATGTCTTCCTCATCCCATCTGGCATGCTGTACACATCCAGTAGGTGCAGTGAACAAGAGGAAGCTAGACCTGCCTGAAATAAGAGTTGCATTTTCCTTTGTCTTAGCTCTAGGTCCATTACAGAAAGCAGCTCTGCAGGCACATGGAGCTGGGTCACAAGTGCGGTCACAAGTGTATAGATGTAGTAGGTGTACCTATAGATCCCAACTTAGCATTTTTTTTCAATTAGTATCTTTAACACCCACCAAATTTTTAATAAGTTTAACTTATACTACCCATTTTGGTTGATGGGAAAAAGATGAAAACTTAGTAAAGCACCTTAATGAGAATGATGCTACACAGTCAGAATCAAGCACTTTAGAATCACCTTAAGCCTACACATGTATATGGATGGTCCAAGTGTGTACATGGCTATGCACAGGACAGAGACCTGAACCACATTTTCTGATTCCTAGACTGTCTTTGGGTCGATTTCAAGTCAGACTAAGGCATTCTGTGAGACAGTCCTACTTCTCATGGAATTCCTTCAATGGAAAATTTTAAAATGTAACAGAGTAAAACCTCATTGGTGTGCTCATCTACATTTGGTCTTACTTGATTAATTAATCCATCAATTAGTAGAAACATGTTATTTAAGAAATACAATATGATATCCTTAAAAACATTCATATATGTGTCAGAACAACTGCTTACCAAATTAGAGTAAGTGAGGTTTTACTATGTATGACACAAACATATGAAGGACACTTGGATCACTTTGTGATGTTTCTAGACATCTGCCAAGGCCAACACCGCAGGGCAGGGGACACTTACCACTGCCATCACTACCTTCTCTTTTGCCACGGGAGCTCCCACTGCCATCTCTGCTCGACTTTATGCGCTAGAGTAGTAAGAAAACAGATTTACAAGAATAATCAATATTGCTTCAAAGCTGCTCTAACCAAAGGCTGAATGCTAACATAATGTTACTAAGTAATCCTTACAACTAATTCATCATCATCTGACAGTTGATTCTTCAGGAAAAAAAGATGGAAGGAAAAGGTTCAAATCATTCCATCTAAGACAAATGACATTTCCACTCATAAGTGTTTACACAACTCAAAATCAGAAAGTGTTTCCTTGATGTGAAGCCTCAGGCTTGAAACAACAGTCTAAAGCAGAGGTCAGAGAGGAGAGGAAAGAAATCTACAAAAAGTCCTGTCTCACTCCCAATCTATATTAGTTGGATCTTATCTACTAAAGGGTTAAAAAAATAAACTTTTAAAATTGAACTTCTAACATAAAGGCACTAGAAAAATATTTACAGTCTATCCAACAGTTTACTGTCTTAGATCCAAACCCATTTTCAAAGCATAAGAAGTATATTCTGATATTCTTAGGTTACTTGGCACATTGTGTGGTTCTTCTGTGTTATATCTGTCAGAATTTTTTGTGTTGGGGCCAGGGAGATGGCTCAGTAGAATAAGTGCTTCCCTGGCAAGCGCAAGGGCCTGAGTTCAATCCCTGGTTCCGGAAAAAAAAAAAAAAAAAAAAAAAAAAAGTTTTTCTGTGTTAACACTGAATCTGCCTGCAAGGCATTCTGTCAAATCTTACTATGTATGCTGGTTGATTTACAGTAATACAGGGTGGTTAGTACATAGAGATAGACAGCTTTGGATAGACATTTGTGAGTTAAAACTTCTTAATGTAGATGTTTTATTTAGATCATCCATATAGTTAGTTCAAAGTGCAAGTTATTAACTCCCACCACCTTGAATATTTCCCAAACATTCGTAAATTATCAGGACACGTTTGAGGTTATTAACACTGGTCTTCTAGGAAGAAAAATATTCATTTCAATAGTTCAAGGCTCATTTCTGTAAAGTGAAATACTGTACTCTAAAACTGAGGACTCTCAAACATTACATAAACATGGCCAAGTTTTCTTATTTAAAAAAAAAAAAAAAAAAAAAACCTCCCCTGAAACTCCATTTTTCTCCCTGCTTTCATACACAAAAGAAATTCTTAAAAAGATATAACAAAGTAAGAATGTAAACATATAGCATCTACCATCTCCTAGCCCCACCAGTGCCCCAAGGCCCTTGCCCCACCCACCTCTTCCCCCACTCCAGCTTGTCAAGAGACACCTAAACCTGGGTGGCTTCTGCAGCTGTCCTCTTTCCTAACCCACACTTAGGGCACTGGAAAAAAAAAATCAGTGTGCCCAGGGCACATTGACCCCAGGGCTTCGCAGCAAGCTCCCTGTATGGGCCTATGCTCCACATTCTGTTGTCCTCTTTGCAGATGTCTGTCCTACGTGCTTTGGGAATCAGAAGCAGCGGCAGTCCCTAGAAATGAGACAGTCCTCCCTGTCCACCAGGCCTTCCTCTGCATCCTCTTACATTGGGCACCTGTGGTCAGGCCCTGCTCTGCTGGCTCCTCTTGTCTCCCTCATCATCTCGCTGTGAGCAGTGTAGTTCTCCATCCTCTCCGCCAACCCAGCACTTGTCTGCACTCACCAATGAATTTCACCAGAGCAAGCCTCACATTCCAACTGCTATAATAAATGCTGCAATGATTTTGTACAGAAGTTACAGAGATGGCAACTTCAAAAGTAAAACCAAAACAATGGGTTGATACATTTTTCAAAGAAATAGGATCTACCGGGCCTCAATTAACAGTTTATGCATTTACTGGGTAGAGATCTGATCAGCAGTGTTTCTAGGCTGGACTAAAGTTCTTCCTTTGCAGAAGCACAGTATAGTAAACCCTCAAGCCAAAAGAGCCATGTGGACAGCAGTCTGTCCAGGTGATGGGTCTGACTCCTGGGCCTCCCCAGGGGTGACTGGGCTGGCCTGGGAACTGCTCTCTTATCAGGTGGGTAAGAGCTCAAGGGGCCCAGGTTGAGCCCAGAGGGATGGAGGGAAACCAGGAGGGGGCATTGCAGTAGGTCAGGCAGAGTGAAAATTAGAGGAGCCATTACATTTATTTATACATAGGCAATTACTCTTAATGACACCCACTGTGTGAATGAAAGAGTTTAGAGTGTTTTAAAGGACACCCAAGAAGTAAGCATATAAAGATCTCGTGTAGGTCGAGGGAGATAGCTCAGTAGAATAAGCACCTGTGTGGCAAGTGCAGGGTCCTGAGTTCAATCTCTGATACCAAAAAAAAAAAAAAAAAAAAAGGTAGATAACTATTGTAGACCTTGCCTGGAGAAAACTGAAAGGATGATCTAGAATTGGTGGAGCTAGAGGTTTAGAGAATTTGGAGGAACCTTATGGAGAAAAGGGACATAAAACTATGAAAATAAGTACAAAAATAAAAGTTGATTGAGAAAGGGACAGTGCAAAGAAGTCCTGTAGCTGAGCTCTATGTACCATCACGGAGCCCCTTGCAGTTCCCCAGGGTACCTGAGGCAGGGATGGCTTCCGGTGGCTACAGAGCCACTGGTCCCGCCCCTGAAAGATCAGGGTCCCCTCTTACACTGATACACCTTGTTATGGCTTGTATCTAAATGTCCCCCAAGCCTTACGTCGTCATAGGTGGGGTTTTTCAGAGGTGGCTGGATCTAGGGTGTGTGATTAAGGCTGGCATTAAGGGCGTGATGTTAGGAATAAAGATGCTCCACCCCGGGTGTGAACACAAAGTGCCTGGAGGGTCGGGAGTCTGGCTGCAATATAAGGGACAGCACGAAGGCCTGCCACCGCTGTCGCTTCCTGCCTTCTGCTTGCTCTACCATATGCTATGGACTGTTTCTCCCCTGCAGTGTCCCCCTGCCATGCCACCCTGCCTTAAAAAGCCAGACAACTATTAACTGAAACCCCTCAGTGAGCTGAAATAAACTTCTCTTTCAACTTGTGGCTGTCAGGTATTTTGTTTCAGCACTAGAAAAAGTAACTACGGCACACCTGATGCATCGCCCATTCAGCTCTAGCACATGGCCAGGCACATTCAAGGAGCACGTCCCATGTTTACTGAACATAGTCATAATGAAGCTGTACCAAGTGGTAGACTAGGTTTTTGAAATACGAAATACCCCATTTTTTCTTTATCTTTTTTTCTTGTGCCTGCCAGGCAAGTGCTTATTCTGCTGAGCCATCTCCCCAGCCCTGTATCTTTTTTCTTAAGAGTTTCAACAATTAACAAAGCTTATAGAAATTTGTACTCATTTAGTATTGTAAACAGACAAGAAAGGACACATTGAAACAATACTAAAGGTTATTCTCATTGCATTAATGTTAAAAATGGAAGGAGATGGCCACCAAAGGGAATATAGAACAGAACCATCATGGTAATCCATACTTACTGACAGGACAGCAGTCCCCATTATTATGCTAAGTAGGAAGTTAATGGCTATAAGACAATATTTTTATAAAACTTTTTGTTTAAAAAGCTCTGCTTTGGGGCCAGGGAGATGGCTCAGTAGAATAAGTGCTTCCCTGGCAAGTGCAAGGGCCTGAGTTCAATCCCCGGTGCTGCCAAAAAATAAAAAATAAAAATAAATAAATAAAATAAAAAGCTCTACTTCACTTCTTTACATATCTTTATTTTAATTAAAAATCACTTACAAAATCTGCCTGAATTCTTAAAAAGAGCATTTATTGTTTCAAAATAACATGGAGTTCCTATTTTGAAAAAATATCAGTTCTTCTTAGGGAAGAAAACAAAGAAGGTATAGAATACAGGAGCAAAGTTAATGCAAGTAAAATAATGGAGCAACCTAAATGAAGAAGAAAAAAAAGTACTTTTCTCCCTATTGAATCTACTTGTGCACATGAGTGAGAGCCCGTAAGCATCACATACTGCTTTTCTGGGACTAGAAGAGTAAAATGAAAACAGTTACAAGGTGCTCAATCCGACAGCTTCTGCAGAATGGGGCTAGCCAATGAGTGTGGAAGCCACTGCTGGCCCAGAGGGGACCAGCCTATCCTCCCGGCCCAAGCCCTGAGCATGAGGGCCAAGGCCTGCATGCTTTTACAGCGATGTGGTTGTGCTGGCTTCGAAGCACACCATCATTTTTTCCAGTTAAAGATTGAGGGGGGGAAAAAAGGTAGTATGAGAGGTACTATTCTATTTTTTATCTTAAAAAAATCATTTATTTATTTATATTTGGTACAGGGTCTCACTATGCAGTTCAGATTCATGGAGATCATCCTGCTTCAGCCTCCTCAGCACTGAGATTACAGGTGTGCACCACCATGCCCAGTCTTGGTGGCCCACTTGCACGCCTGGCACAGCATGTGGTACCAGGGATTGAACCTGGGTCCTTGTGCTTGCCTAGGCAGGCACTTAGACCACTCTATCTCCACAGCCCTAACTGTCCTTACTTTACAAGTGGCAGTGAGATCCAGAATACTAGTGTCCATTTCAGATCACAGAGCTGATCAGTGTTCAAGTCAGAAGTGTCTAGGCCTCTGTTCACCATGCCATGCTTCCATTCTCTAAGTCCTGTTTCTGTCCATTTGAACATGGAATAATACTTGCCACCTAGTTAAGAACTCTTAAATTCTGACTTCAAATTCAAGAGATAACAATTTAAAGTATTTCCTAGTGACTTCAAATCTAAGGAATCCATGCACATGGCCTTTCCTTCCTCTCCTCACATCTCATCTTTTTTATCCACACCTAACTCCAGGGATCCATGCCAAGCCACTCCCTATGCAGGTCCCAGGACTGCCTCAGTGGAGCTGCTCTTCAGCCCTGGGCTCCCTACTAAACACTGGCCTCTGACACCATACAGCCTCCAGGCTCCTCTCTACCTCCCACCGTGCCTGTGCCTCAAGCACCAGAACCAAGGGTGAGGCCTTAGGGAATCCTCTGCAATGCACACGAGATTTGGGGAAATTATGGGGAATAAGGAGCCAATGCAGGGCCATGAGTGAAGCTCTTACAGATCAACAGCCTTCAAGAAAGTAAGTAATTGCTAGGTACTCTTAGTCTACTAAACGTAATCAATACAGATAATCATATTTTGATACCAAGGATATATATTCTATTCTTTTGAGGAATTTTCCCAGTGAAATAATGTATAACATGAACAAAACATTCTTGTAGACTTTATTACATATATAAACAAAAATTTTTGCATTTTTTCATTATAGTCAATTTTAAAGCTATACTTTTATAGGGTCTTAAAATGGACTCTCTTTCCTACTAAAAATATAACCAAAAGGGTTTCTGCCCAACTGAATTGTAAACTTACTTTCATTGCTTTTGGGTAATGACTGGAAATGTGGGTGTAAGTACCAATTATGTTCTATATTAATTCTTAATGTCACATTAAGTCAGTCTGGCCAAAAGAAAGCATTTCTTGAAATTACTTCCTGATTTCTTGGGGTGAGGGCAAGGAGATGGAAAATAATGGAAGAACATTCCTCTTTTGAATAGTTTAAAAACTTGACAAATTTGAGTAAAGTCTTAATTATTAATATATCTTTACTTCGGGGTTAGCAATGAAAATTTTCTGTATAGTGTACTGTTTATTCTCTTTTCTTTTTTCCCTCTTTCTTTGTTCTGGCTAGCTTTCTTTTCATTTTTCTTTTAATTATTTTTATTTTTGGTGGAACCAGGGATTGAACTCAGGCCCTTGTGCTTGCCAGGGAAGCGCTTATTCCATTGAGCCATCTCCTTGGCCCTCTTTTCATTTTTCTGATTTAAAAGTCTTTACTTCCTGCTCTCCCTTTTCACTCTTTTCCACACATATGGTGGAGCACTGATAGATTCCTTGCAGCTAATGTTTTCTTGTTCAGTGATGCAAATGAGCATCTTAAAAACAAACAAACAAACCAAAATCAAAATACCAAAAAACCAACACAACAGCTCTTGTGCTGGGCATGGCAGCAAATTCCTATAATCCCAGTACTTTGGGAGTTTAAGGCAAAAGGATCACAAGGTCAAGTCTAGCCAGGGCAATTTAGCAAGATTCTGTCTCAAAATAAACAAGCACAGCACTCCCCAAATTCAAACTCCCTGGATGGGTTTATTTTCCTTTTTTAAGTCTAAACAGATCTTTTTCTTTTTAAAACAATTTTTAAAAATCTATGGCTTGATTCAGTTTATATCTACTTCTCTCTCTCTCAACTTAAGTCAGATTCTCCATGTTGACCTGGTATTTAATCATCTGTAATATGGTACTTTTGGGGCATAAGGTCTGAATGCTTCCCAAATCTCACTGAGTATAACAATTTCACATCCACCCCCACACACATATAAAAAGCAATGGACAGAATAGTATGTACAATGATACAACTAAGGCACAACTAACAATGAGGAATTTAAATTAATTGTAACCTACAAAAACTGGGATAATCAAGTCTAAGATTATTTAAAGGGGATGTTTTTCTCTTTACCTCTCAGATCCATTGCCAAGGAGTCCCTGGCATCAGTGTTTACTGAAACTTACAATGAGAGTCCTTGTGAAGCTGGGCCCCCTGGGTGAACACGTGTAATCTCAGCACTATGGGAGGGTGAGGCACAAGAGTCACAAGTTCAGGACCAGCCTGAGGAATTTCACAATTAACAAACCCTGTCTAAATATTTAAAAAGGGGTGGGATGTAGCTCAGTACATTGGTTCTGGGTTCAGTCCCCACCCCCAAGTACCACAAAAAGAAAAAAATAGATCTCTTTTGAATAACATCAAGAATCAACAAATGAGACTTAAAAAGCTTAAATTAAATAAAAAAGCTTCTACATTGCAAAGGAAACAACAGAATGAAGAATCTATAGTGGAGGAAATCTGTGCTAGCTACTTCTGAGAGAAGATTAAATTCTAAAGTGCAACAAAAACTCTTAAAAATTTAACCCTCATAAAACAATAAACTCAATAAAAAAGCTGGCAAATAAACCAAATAAGATACTTCTTTCGGGAAGTTCAAACGGCCACATGTTCAACAACTCTAGCCAACAGGAAAATGCAAATTAAAACTACATTACAATTCCATCTCACTCCAGCCAGAATGGCTATCAAAAACACAAAAATCAGTGTACAAACACTATGGAAAGCACAATGGAGATTCCTTAAAAGACTACACATAGAAATATCATTTGATATATGGGGGATATCATAGAAATACCATTTGATATTGGGGATATATGCCTCAGAGAATTAAAGACAATATTATACATGATATCAAGTATATCCATGTTTTTAATAGCACAATTTCCAACAGCTAAGCTGGGGGAATAGTCTAGATGTCCATCAACAGAATAATGGATGAAGAAAATGTGGTGTTTATATACAAATGGAACACGACTCAGCTAGAACAAAATAATATTATTACGGTTGGCCAGATAGCTCAGTGGATTAAAGTGCCTGCTTAGGCAGACACAGGGACTGGGGTTCGATCTTTAGTGTGCAGTACAGACCCCACCCCCAGGTCGCACTAAAACTGTGATTGAGACAGGGCCTGGTGGTGTATGCCTGTAATCCCAGCACTTGAGAGGCTGAAAACAGGAGGATCAGTATGAGTATGATCTGTTTAGTGAGATCCTATAGACCCTGAACTAAATACAAACAAACAAACAAAGAAAAACAACAAAAAACAAAACAAAACAAAAAAACCAAAACTGTCATTTGAGGGAAACTGGATGGAACTAAAAACTATCATGATAAGTGAAAGTAGCTAGATTCAGAAAGGTAAGTATTGTACATTTTCTCTTAGAGGAGAAACAAAGAAAGAAGAGAGAGAGAGAGAGAGAGAGAGAGAGAGAGAGAGAGAGAGAGAGAGAGAG